TATGTCTCAAAATTTATGAACTCTTTAATAACAGAAACAGGAAAACATTTACAAAAACAGGAAGAAATACTTGCAGAAACAAAGAGGCATTATGAAAATTTATATAAATTCAAAAATACAGAAACAGTGTGTTTAAGTCAAATTTTGTGTAATACTGACTTACCAAAATTACTAGATAATGAGAAACAATCTATTGAAGGTGCCCTTACTTACAATGAAATGTTAAATAGTCTGAAACGCATGTCAAATAATACAAGTCCAGGCAATGATGGTTTTACTGTAGAATTTTTAAAATTTTTCTGGAATGATTTAGGTATGTTTTTAGTAAGATCAATAAATCATGCATATAACATAGGTGAACTGTCAGTAAGTCAAAAACAAGGTGTTATAACCTGCATTCCAAAAGGAAACAAAGATAAATCCTACTTGAAAAATTGGAGACCAATTTCACTACTAAATGTATCTTATAAAATTGCATCTTCTTCAATAGCTTTTCGCATAAAAAATATTTTAGGAAAGATCATTAACGATGACCAAACAGGCTTTTTACCCGGAAGACTCATGGCGACAAACATAAGATTAGTTTATGATCTCTTGTTCTACTCAGAAAAGAATAATATACCTGGATTGTTACTATTAATAGATTTTGCAGCTGCTTTTGATACTGTTTCCTGGAAATTTATGCATCAAGTTTTAGAGTTTTTTAATTTTGGACCCTCTGTTAGATCATGGATCAAACTTTTTTATACAAATATAGAGTCATGTGTTATTGTTAATGGTCACATGTCAGATTGGTTCTCGCTACAAAGAGGCTGCCGTCAAGGTGATGCTCTCTCTCCCTACCTGTTCATTCTTTGCGCAGAAATCCTGTCAATATTGATAAGAGATAATAACAATATAAAAGGAATTAGTGTTAATGGTACAGAGTACAAACTCTCTCAATATGCTGATGATACTAGTTTATTCTTAGATGGCACGTCAGAATCATTAAAAAACACAATGTTAACTTTAAATTTTATGCAAACATTTCAGGCCTTAATATAAATATGGAGAAAACAAAAGTAATTTGGTTTGGGTCAAAAAAATGCAGTCGCACAATACTTTGTCCAGAATATAATTTATCATGGGGAGATAACATTTTCACACTTCTTGGAATTAAATTTTCTGTAGATTTATCTAATATAGTTGATATTAATTATGACTCAAAAATTGAGGAAATTAAAAAGTTGTTTGCTTGCTGGTCAAAAAGAGTGTTAACGCCACTTGGCAAATTGGTGGTTATTAAAACCCTTGCTTTGTCAAAATTAAATCATTTGATTTTGAGTATTCCTAACCCACCACTTGCAAAAATAAATATTATCCAGCAAATGTTTTTCAATTTTCTATGGAGTGATTCAAGAGATAAGGTTAAAAGAAATATTATATCACAGGAATACAAGTTTGGAGGGCTTAAGATGGTTGATCTCAAGTGTTTTATGTATAGTTTAAAAGCAACATGGCTAAGAAGACTGTTGACAGTTAATTGTAATTTTTTACATATTGTTAAAAGTGCATGCCCTTGTTTAAATAACATATATAAGTATGGTACAGATTATGCAAGAATACAATTACATCAAGATTTAAATCCTTTTTGGAAAGATGTGCTTTATAGTTTTTATTTAATTTCTTCAAATGTAGAGGTGAATTCTTGTCAGCAAAGTTACTCAGTTAATTTATGGCATAACCCCGGCATTAAAGTAGCAGGATCTAGTGTTTGTTATAACAGATGGGTATCTAGGGGAGTAATATTTTTAGGGGACCTTATCAATCAAGAAGGGGAATTTTACACCTGGCAAAACTTTATTAGTATATTCAATATTAGAACAAATTATCTGGAATATCAAGGTTTTTTAGCTGCAGTAAATGAATTTCTTTTGAATAATAATATAAGACATTTACCTAAGAAATCATTCAATATCCACATTCCTTTAGGTTTGGCTATTATAAATAAAGAGAAAAAAGGATGCAGATCTATATATAGAATGATAAAAAAGAAGGAAGAATACCCAAATTCATTGCAAAAATGGAAAAATGAATTAATAAGTTTAGGCGATAGGAATAACTTGAATTTCAATTTAATATATAGTAATGTTTTTAGAGTAACAAAAGACCCAAAACTGATCTGGTTTCAATACAGAATCAACCATAGAATTTTAGCCACAAATTATCTTCTTAAAAAATGAATATTGTTAGAGAGAATGACTGTACATTCTGTCAACATGAACCAGAAACTTTAATACATTTGTTTTGTAATTGTGAAATTATTAAACAGTTTTGGCAACAATTACAATCATATATCAAAGAAAAATGTAATATAAATTTCACTAATTGGAGTAATTTTGATATCTTATTTGGGAATGTTAATATAAACATCATCCTAAATAAAATTATTTTGCTAGCAAAACAGTACATATACTATAACAGATTGAAGAAAATAAGGCCTTCTTTGGAAATTTTCAAGAAACAAATAGTGTCTAGTTATACTACTGAAAAATACAGTGCCAAACAGCTATTTCAATATGAAAAATTTGAACGCTCATGGGAAATGTTTAAAAATTTAGTAAGTTAGTGAGACTATGTAAATATTGATATTTTTAAGTAGTAGACACCCCTTGTTTAATTATTAATATTAGTAAGACACTTTACTTTCCTGACAGACCTTCCATCAGGGACCTTTACTAATATTTAGAGAATATTAATAACTTGGAAGTAAATCCTCCAAGTTTACACCAACAACCTTTTCTTTTTTACTTTTTAGAGAAGACTTATATAGGTAAATGAAAACATTTTCCTCTGAATTAGATGAATTCTAACCTCAAACTTGTTTTTGCCTTTTCCATAATTATACTTGTTGCTTTATTAAATTCAATAACTTACATGAATATGCAACATTCCTGTGTAGTAATATCTTTAGTATTTTGTTTTATAATGAGGTTATTTTTACTTTGTCTTTTTTGTATATATAATTCGAATATAAAGGAAAATGTAAATTCAGCAATAGACTCCTTTAAAAATTCACAAAAACCCCATTTTAGCTATTAATAATTATTTTAGCATATCAATATTGTATCTATTTAGTTAAAGTGACATTATGCCCATCCAAAGCAAATAGTGAATAAACAGTGAAAGTTGAAATACATTTTTGCCATGATTCGTCTCTGTTTTTCAATATATTCCGGTAACTCTTATGGCTCAAGGAACATTTTGGAAATATCTGTAGAGGGAAAAATTATACTTAATAAAAGTATGGGGCAGTCTTTATGTTTTAGGCAGATATATATTTTATCCAAAATCCTTTTCTTATATCAACTGTTATCAAGCACCATTATTATTGTCAATATTGAAATTTATAGTCAATAAAACTCAACTTGACATTGAAAAAAAAAAAATAATGAGCTTAATGTCACTTAAATGTTTTAAATTTAATATGATGATATATGCCATGAATTGATAATGTAAGGTACAGTAGGGGATGGCTCTCCGACCCCACTGCACCAATTACGGGAAAAATAAATGGGCAACCTATGTTGCTGAAAAATTAAAAAAAGAAAATATTATGCCCCAGCTTTTGATACTAACAAAATTATATATCATAATTGCTATGCAGCAATGCCATATTGATATGTGACATAACATTAAATGAATGATAAACAATTAAGTTTTTAGAATTTTATAGGGTCCTGTTATGAAAAATAATTAAAATATTTGATATTTGCTTAAATAACTTAAATAACTTCTTAAAGTATATGGGCTTCTCGAGATGTCTTACCCACTAGGGGTCGAAAAGTCATATAAAGACGGGGGAGGTCTAAGTGTCCAGGGGTCTAGAAGTCATCTTGATATCGTAAGGAAGGAGTAAATGTCTTACTTTCCTTCAATCATTCATCAGTGGCATAATTGATTGCCAAAAAAAGATAACAGGGCGGAAATATTAGGGCTAATGCATCCATAAGTATTTTAAAGAAACAGAAACAAGATGATTCCAATCAAGTTAACAACAGTCCTAAAGTTACAAAATTTAAAATTTCGATATTTTCAAATAAACCAGCCAGAAGTGAAAAAGACTTACAATAAATGTTGTGTCACAGTAGCTATTTCGGATACAAAAAAAAATCAATTAAGGTGACACAATGTAAAAAACGAATACAGACTAAAGGTTATATGTATCAGTACTTTTCTTAATCATGTAAAAAATAATGTAAAAAAACGAATAAAGACTAAGGGTTATATGTACCAACACTTTTCTTATCCATGTTTCGGTATGTCTACAGGATCTAAAAGTATGAAGGGTGGATACACATTATAGGTCATGTTAAGGTGTTTCGTATTGTTCTTTATCGTTTTTATACATAATGTTAAATGCAGATAATGGGAAAGACAAAGCATGTCTCTAAACAAATGGCTACTGAAAAAAACGTAAAAGTACAAAGTGGCCAAAAATAAATAGTGAAAAGTTGGAATTCCTATATACATGTATATATTTTTTATTTAGAAGTGCCTGTTGATTAGGACATATTATCTATACGCCTAAATAGCGGCTTAAGCAATGTTTATTCTTTTTAAATAAATGTAACAGTGTTAAAAGAACAACGCCTGAACGACCACCCCACAAACAACCTAGTTTGTGTTGATTCTTTTTTGGGATCGAGGAATAATTTGATACGTCTTTCTACTTAAATTCCATTATCAACTACTTTTGTTACTTAATCCATTTTATATCTTCTCATTAAAAATGTAACTACAGTGATTAAAATCATGCAGTGACAAGTAAACTCTATGGTACTCTATGTTATAACAATCTTTTCTTTAACTTCGATCTTCATCTATTAACTAGTGAATATATCATAATGGCCGACACCGATGCAAGTTAATAGTTGTTCTCATATTAACTTAACCCATTGAAGGCTATAATTGAAAGAACACCAGTTACTTCCTTATCAAGTGTCAAGGTTGTAAAATAATACATGATACTCTAGTTACGGAAGTCATCCATTTTGTTGATGTACAAGGTTTATGTACAAGGTACAAAATCTGTTTTGCTTGACAATAATCAGTCACGTGTAAAATAAAACCGCTACATTTGTTTATCTAAAGCAATGGAAGTCTTTCAGAAAGCAGTAAGTGTAAGTTTTTATGTGTATTTAACAAGCTCACTCGTATATATTTTAACCTTGAATATTTCAATACAGTAAATGTTTAGGTTTTCTATATCGTCAGAGTGGGTGGGGTGATGAAAAACAATCATAAGTGTTGTTTTTTCTATTTTACATATTTCGGAAAAGTATTAATTATTGAAGTAAGAAAATTAAAAAGAAAATAAGAAATATCGCGGTTTATGTTGAATAAAGTCCTTTTGAAATCATGAATGTATTGTACTTATTCTAAATATTGTTGTTAATAAAGTAATAGTTTAAAAATTAATTTAACTTGATATAAAAAATCTTCCAACAAACACTGTTGTACAGCGTCCACCGGATATAGCCCCTAAAAACACCGAAAACGAAAGTAGAAAGCTGCACACCGAGTTCCCCTAAGGTAATGTTTTAACGTATTTCTTCATCATAACTTCATCGATTTTTCCAAACTAAACAATTTTGTGAAGCTAAATGTTTCTTTTTTTTAGAGCAATATTTGCTTTTGTCTGCAAATTGAATACTTTGTGTTAACCTGGCGATAAAATGTAGCGTATTTGTTGATATGTGCGAACAATGTTGATATTTACCACTAAATCAAGCCCAAAACGCATTTGCTGTATCAAAATTCGCAGTTTAACACAAACTATAGTCCTCTCTCTACTTAGATTTGAGTTTACACCCTTCAACTCCAGCTGCTTTTTACAAAATTTGCAAAAAACGGCCTTGCCTTGTGTACAGAGTCTAGCAAAGAAAACATTTAAGTGAACGGGGTGTAGTAGTTTAATGTACAGGGTTTAGTAGATGTGTACGGTGTCTAGCAGTCAACTATTTTTAAATTATATTTTATATTGTTTTTAATTGGAAATAATCTCATTTCAGACTAAATATGGATATATTAGAGGACGATACAGAGGTATTTGGTAAATAATCGTCATCATCATCATTGAATAGTCGTCAGTATCATTATAATTTTTGGAAAAAGCAGCATCATAAGCGGCAGCATTGTATTTATTAAAGATCCTTAAGCGTTCACCGATACCATTTTATCATAAAAACGCCATCAGCCCTAAAAAACCTCAGTCAAAGTGTATACGCTATAATGAGAACATTAACAAACGTCTGTAAGAAGAAAATGTAAAAAAGTAACAAAAAAAGGGCTCAAAGTTTTGCACAAAATCATCGCCGAACATTTTTACGAATAATCCCGGGTTATGATATCAATATCAATATTGAAATCACAAGTGAAGTCACCCGAGTTTGACTGCAAAAAAAATATGAAGACTTTATAGCCACAAAAGATATATCTAATGATTAACCTAACTAATCAAGGCGGATATTTTACCAAAGCTCATTAACATATGTTTGTTTTTCAATAAATTCTTAAGACCAGTGAAATAATAACCCAATATAACAAGTTAAGATCAAGCATAACCCAAACATGGTTTGAAAATGTTTAAGACAAATTATAGAATTTGCTGTACATATAATGTTCTACCACTATGGAATGAAATTGTGGTCTTTTGAGTTTTACGATTTTCCTATTAACTTTTAGTCACGAATATAGCAGGACGGAAACTGTTTACTGCAATTAATATACATGTTGCGTAACATGTTTACAATTTAAACATTTTCATCTTTTATAAAATTAAAATTATTCACTTCACAATCCCTGCTCCCGACATTAATCGTTTTCTTCATCAGCTACGTGTATATGCTCTGGTACTGAATTTATTTTGCAGAAAACGACATTCGTTTCCCTACTACACCCCGTACAATCGCTAACAGTTTTCCATCTACACCCTGTACACATCCGTGCTAGACTCTGTACTCAAGGCAAGGCCGTTTTTCGTAAATTTTGTTAAAAACAGCCCAAGTTGAAGGGTGAAAACTCAAATATAAGTAGAGGGATGGCTATAGTTTGTATTAACGGCGGAATTCGATACAGCAAATGCGTTTTGGGCTGGCTTTAGTGGTAAATATCAACATCGTTCGCAAATGTCAACGAATACGCTATAATTCATCATCAATCTAACAAAATGAATTCAATTTGCAGACAAAAGCAAATATTGCTCTAAAACAAGAAACATTTAGCTTCACAAAATTGTTTAGTTTGGAAAAATCAATGAAGTTATGATGAAGAAATAAGTTAAAACAATACCTTGGGTGTACTCTGTGTGTAGCTCTCTACTTTCGTTTTCGGTGTTTTTAGGGGCTATATCCGGTGGACGCTGTACAACAGTGACAAAAGCATGGATAGGTTTTATTTACTGATATATAAACCGTACAAGAAAAGCAATGTCAAGAGAAGAGAATATAAAATAGTACAATTGTCAGTAAGCTTTCGATTTATACCTTCTTAAACACCCGTAACAGATATAGGGAATCGACTTGTTTTAACATGTTTATATTTATACACCATATTTATTATCTAACATAGCATCTACGGCTTCTTTTTTATTTGAAATAATATTTCTGATGTGTGTAAAACAAGTTCAGTCGTATTTATCTAAACCTTGAATTTTTCAATACAATAAAGGTTGTCTATCGACAGAGTAGGCGGTATAATCAAAACAAACATAAGTGTTTTTTTATTTTACATATTTCAGAAAAGTATATTTTACTGACGTTAGAAATTATACAAGAAAAAAATATCGCGGTTTATGTTTTATAAAGTCCTTTTTATACGCCCGTTTGAAAAACGGGACGTATTATGGGAACGCCCCTGGCGGGCGGGCGGTCAGGCGGGCGGGCGGCGTCCATTTTTGTCCGGAGCATATCTCCTACATGTATGGAGAGATTTTAATGAAACTTCATAGAAATGTTCACCACTATGAGGAGCAGTGTCGCGCACATAAACCAGGTCTCTAGGTCAAAGGTCAAGGTCACACTTAGAGCTCATTGAAAAATGCTTGTCCGGAGCAAAACTTCCACATGTATAGAGGGATTTCAATATTACTTGGCACAAATGTTCACCATTGTGAGGCGGAGTGTCGCGCGCAAGATTCAGGTCCTTGCGACCAAGGTCAAGGTCACACATAGAGGTCAAAGTTCAGATAAAAATATGAAGATGTGTATATGGACCATTTATTCATCATTTATTGAAGGATTGTAACACAAATGGTCATTATCAAGACTATGGCTGTGATACATATAATTTAGGTCAATATATACAAGGTCAAGGTCACTAAAGATTATGAAATATCCAGATTTTGTCCGGAGCATATCTCCTACACGCATGGAGGGATTTTAATGAAATTTCATAGAAATGTTCACCATTATGAGAAGCCATGTCACGCACATGAACTAGGTCTCTAGGTTAAAGGTCAAGGTCACACTTAGAGCTCATTGAAAAACGCTTGTCCGGAGCAAAACTTCCACATGCATAGAGGGATTTCAATATAACTTGGCACAAATGTTCACCATTGTGAGGCGGAGTGTCGCGCACAAAATTCAGGTCCCTGCAGCCAAGGTCAAGGTCACACATAGAGGTCAAAGTTTAGATAAAAATATGAAGATGTGTATAGGGACGATTTAATCATCATTTATTGAGGGATTGTAACACAAATGGTCATTATCATGACTACGGCTGTGACACTTGTACTTTAGGTCAATATATGCAAGGTCAAGGTCACTAAAGATGGTGAAATATCCAGATTTTGTCTGGAGCATATCTCCTACATGTATGGAAGAATTTTTATAATACTTTATGGAAATGTTCACCACCATGATATGCATTGCTCCATGCATTATCAAGGTCTCAAGGTCGAAGGTCAAGGTCACACTTAGAGCTCATTGAAAAACGCTTGTCCGGAGCAAAACTTCTACATTCATAGGGGGATTTCAATATAACTTGGCACAAATGTCCACCATTGTGAGGCTGAGTGTCGCACGCAAAATTCAGATCCCTTCGACCAAAGTCAAGGTTACACATAGAGGTCAAAGTTCAGATAAAAATTTGAAGATGTGTATAGGGACCACTTAGTCATCATTTATTGATGGATTGTAGCACAAATGGTAACTATCATGACTACAGGTGTGACACATTTAATTTAGGTTAATATTTGCAAAGTCAAGGTCACTGGAGATGATTAAATATCCAGACGTTGCCCGGAGCATATTTTCTACATGCATGGAGGAATTTTAATGTTACTTTATAGAATTGTTCACCACCATGAGACGTAGTGCCCTGCTCATGAACCAAGTCTCTAGGTCAAAGGTGAAGGTCACAGTTAGAGCTCATAGAAAAACGCTTGTCTGTAGCAAAACTTCTACATGCATAGAGGGATTTCAATATAATTTGGCACAAATGTTCATCATTGTGAGGCTGAGTGCCGTGCATAAAATTCAGGTCCCTGCGACCAAGGTCAAGGTCACACATCCTGTGCATATCTTCTCTACTGATTTGTTTTATGGTTCATTTAACAACACAGTGCCAAGAATAAAAACTTGCTTGCTAGATAACACTTATCCATAATGCCCCCATCTCCATCTAAAGCTTTCGTAAACGGGCGTATTTTGTGACTATGGCACCCTTGTTTAATTAATAAATGTTTTCAGTTATTCTAAATATTGGTGTTAAAAAATCAATAGTCTAAAAATAAAAACTTAATTTTACTGGGTATTAAATTTCCTCCAATAAAAACATGGGCATGTTCTACTTACTTATATATAAATCATATGACAAAAGAAATATGAAGAGAAGTGAATGTAAAATAGTACAATTGGCAGTAAGCTTCCAATTCACACTTTTACTTTTGACACTCGTCACAGTTAAATGGTATAGACTGTTTATAACATGTTGTTTATATTTATGCACCATATCTTTACTCTAACATAGCATCTACGGAATATTTTATTTGAAAAAATTAAAGCAAGTAAAGGGTTAAGCTACAAAAATGATGACAATTATTGACAAAAAATAGGTATGATAACTTTAATTAAACAAATGTTTTCTTCAACATCATTCAATCTTTCTCTACATGGTCACATCTAACTGCTAACTGTTTGTATCGTAATTGTCCTGTAAAAAATGTTACTGTTTCATTTTAAGAAGAGTTTCCTTGGGAAATTTTGTTTATACTTTTTAAATACATTAAAGAAATCAAATTTAAGGATTTACATGGTATATGTAGACATCATCGCTTAAGCAGAACCATGATTGTTTATCTTACACAATTCAGCGACATATAATCTCCAAAATTAAATATGTAAATTGTTTAAAGTGATTTATTGTATGTTTAATACATGTTATTCTTTATACCCACAGTCTTCTTTATCTATATTAATTTGTAAATATGATAAAAATGTTGCAATGTATGTAAATATATAAGTGCTGTACATTACATAATTTAGGTTGCTATTTATAAATTATTATAGAATAATTACGACGAAGATGATACAATCATTGAATTGAATGTTGGAGGCAAGATATTCAGCACACTCAAATGTACACTTGCGAGGGAAAAGGATAGTCTCCTAGCCAAAATGATCAATGGAAAAAGTACAACAAAATTGGACAACTCTGGCAGATATTTTTTTGATTGCAATCCAGACATCTTCTGCCATATTCTTGAATACCTAAGATTTGGAAAATATCCTCCTCCTGAAAAAGCCATTGATGTATATAATTACGCAAGGATGTTTCGTCTTGGGGAATTTATGGCTTCTTTGGAACAATTCAAAGATGTGCAATATAAACTACAAGCTGACCATTCTAAGAGTTCCTTAGACAATAAAAAGTACAAACAGTTGTTACAAGACATTATAGGAAGACTTTCAATCTTCAATGAATCTATATATCCAAGAAGATATATTTGTATAGTAACCGTGAACAACATCGCTGAGAATTTTTCAGAATGTTATTTTCCCGAAATAGATATTATATACAGAAAAGGGGTCCCAGTAAAAGTCAATCCTAGTAAACCTCCTATAAAAACAGAATTACAGAACACAGATGTGAATTTGATTCGAGCTTTAGCATCGGACTTGAAATCGCTCGGATACGGCAGGTTTTTTAAGTACAACAAACATGTAATATCGAATTGTTGTTCTGTTTGTAGAGGAAACCACCTAGGAATTATTCTAAATAGTAAGAATACAGAAAAATATTTCGAACATGCACATCCTTCGTTCTGGATATCCATTTAAAAATGGAGCAGAAGATTTCAGGAATCACTGCTTGAGAAATATTCGTACTAGATTATGTCTAAAACTAATTTGAACTTAGTTAAAGATGTTCTCATCTTTTGTTAAAATGATTTTGATTACAGTAATTAATTGAAGTCTGAATAAGTCTAATTTAAAAAACAGACTGAACAAAGTATGTTTTCGAGGAGCATTCCCGACTACTGGTCAAGTGAAATGGGTCCATCCTAAAAAAACTGCAAGTTTTTAAATGACACTATGTATTTATACCGTCTTTTCCTATAGTGTATAGAGTTTAAAATGTTACATTACAGCCCTGTGTGGACTAAAATGAGTTTTTTTTATTGAACGAAGCTTTGTAGCAATTATCTGTATTTCAAAATATCAATTTTGAGCATGATATATCATTAATGAATGGATATTCTGTATTATCAGATGCACAAAAATAAATAAACTCTAAACATGTCTAGAAAATATATTTTTATTATTCCATTTCTTTTTTATTTCGCCATCTAACATGAGTTATGTTGCGTCCAAAGACTGATTCATATGTTTTAATTGTTTGTTTTAATTGTAGAAGATTCGTCTTTTTCTTAAGTTGCTATGTCATGATTGAACTTAATATGACTCATTTCCCCCGCAGTTACTTGATTTCCCTTACATATCCTAAAGTTAAAAAAAAACAGGAACTCATCAGCTGTATTTTCGAGTCCCACAGAAAACTTTGAATTCTTGCATGTGGGGAAGCTTTTAATCAGTGCTCTTGTGGTCCCAATTTTAAATGTTGGAGGGTCCCAGATTTTTCCTCCATGCCCCTTATAGTTTTATGTGTTTTTAAAATAACTTATCTTTTTCTGCTTAATGACTTCTAAACAATTCAATTTCAAACAAATATCAATGTCATTATCAATTTTATTTGAAATAAAATAAGGCTACCGAAAAGAGAAGTGAAAATTAAATGATTTTGATGATTGTTAGTTATATGATTGCAAGTCTTTTTAATGAGTTTTCGTTGTAACCACACATTTCCTTTTCACTTCAATTCAACAGCCTAGAATATAGATTTTATAAACTATAATCATATTATGTTATAAACGAGTATTGGTTCTGACCAAATCTTAGATTAATCAAAAACTTCAGTTAGCAGTGGTATGATAATAACTTCTAATTAGACAATTTTGAAAAAAAAGTTAAATAAGGGCATAATTCCTTAAATATTGCATTCAGAATTATGATCCTTGTCTAGTCATAAATATGTAGTGAAAGTATTAACACGACGCCGATACGACCGACGCAGCGATAAAAATAGCTTGACTTTTCTTCCAAATTAGTTAAGAATAAAAACAATGATATTTTGATATATTAATGAATATACTAGACAGCAATGAAGAAAAAATCAGCGATATTATGATTATCTGAACAATGATAAGAAATCTGATGATTTGACCTTTCCTTTGGGTTTTTTTAATATTAACAAATATTAACAGATACTCGTATGAAAACCTTAGACTAGTGTAATTTAAATTATTACATTTTCTATTAATTCTTTATAGTTATTAACAGCTACAGAGTTTCTCTAATTATGGAAGAAAAAACTAGCTTTTGCTCAAGTCATGTTGTTGTGATGATGACCTAAAACATGATGTTCAAATTATTGAAATCAACACATACAACAAATGTACATAAAATATTAAATTAAGTATGATCTTAACCTTTAAATGACCTTGACCATGAATGTCAAATTACCGATTCTGTGATTAAACTTGTCATTACTTTGATACTTATTTATCCATTTGATAAATACTTTGACAAATGAAAATTTACCACAAAACCGACTGAGATCTGACGGACCAAGTGGGAGACTCTATGATTATTCAGTTCCTTTGGGACTGAATTGCCTTACTGTTCGTCTTCTGTCTTGCTTCGTCGGGCCCTTGTAGGTGATCTTCTTGTTGCTCTGTCTTCCTTTAAAACATTGAGTACTTTTGTTTATGGTCATTGGGTTTTCTTTTGTATGTTTCTACATGAGCATTTTGATGTTTTACTTATTATACCTTTTGTAACCATGACAACTGTTAGAATTTCACTTGGCGGGGATTCATTTTATTTACACTGTCTCGTTTATTGGGACATGATGGGGCTAAGAGTGAGGTTTGGTGCACCATTAACCGGTTGAAACTCCCCAGCAGTATTTATGTTGCTGACCGTTCCAAGGCGGTGCCCCTCTGTGTTCCGCAGATGTATGTCTTTGTTGTTTCATCCTGTTTTGGTGACACTTTTTGTATCCTTTGTTGTTTTTTTCGTCTGGGTGAGTATCTTCCCCTTGCCCCTAGTTTTTATTTCCTTTACTTAACCCCCCCCCCCATCCCAGGTCTCCTGCCCTCTTCCTCTGTGCCTTTGACTTTAAGGGCCTATTATTCAACCATTTAATTGTTTTCTTTGAGTTCCTTATCATTTACTAATTATTTCTTCTTATGTATAATTTAAGTCATTTATCTTCCCATGCTTTGCCCTGCCCTGTTTTTGTTTGGGGTCCTCCTGGACTCCTTGCCAAAGGCTCTTGTTACTGGATCGTGTGGGGGTTGCGTGCGTTGAACGCCGCCTTTCCTTGTTGATTTTGTTTATCATATTTTGTTACTTATAAGTTATTTCCTCAATTTTAAATGATCTTCAAGGTACTGACATGGCTTTGTTATTTCTTTGTTGATTTAAAGTGGACTCTTGAATTGGACTCTTAAATTGGAAGTAATACTTATGACACAACCAGCATGATACATAATAAATTTGAATTGGCATTGACCTTAGAATGACATTTACAATTATTGTAACATTTTTGAATTTTCAAACTTGGTATCAATATTTGATTACATTTAATCTTATATAAGCCTTATATTTTGTACAAAGTTTTCAAATTGTATTTTTAAATACATCACAGATAATCAACGAAACAGAAATTACTACTTTACAAGTTATTCACTTATATTCATGGGCATAAATTTAGTGGTTTTATCAAAACGGGCATTTCCGTGGGTTCTTAAATTCGTGGATTTTCAATTTCTTGTAAAAAATAAAATAAATAACTTAATGCAAAGTTATCTTACAATTAATCGCCGCGCATTTTACTTACCGCATGCACATATCTTTACGTGTCATACAGAGCTTATAAATAAAGGGCTAGGTTCAGCAAGAGTGAAAAATTGCGCTTTGTCAGAAATTCATCAAAATTTCAGTAAAAGTTCATATTTTTGTGCTTTATCAGAAACAAGAACACACTTGGCGATTATTTTATTAATTTGGTTACCATAGCAAAATGTTTCAGTCTCATATTGTTTTTTTTATTCTCAAATACGCCAACATATTTTCCTCCAGCTTTTGTAAGGTTGGTGTTGATATTAAAACATTACATGAATTCATAAACGAAAATTTCCATGGTAACTCAAACAATTTCATATCTTTTGACACTGCAAAACAGCGAGATTTACCGAATTGCTTACATTATTGCAATCTGGACTATTGTTAAGTATATCAAATGAATAAACCGTAAGCTCTAAGTACAATGGTAGATTTTACATATTCTTTGCACAATATGGAATGTGAATGTTTCGATGGTCACAATGGTGCTATGGAAACAAGAGCCAGTTTTATAAGCTTGACATATTTTCGAAGAAAAGAGGTATTATAACACTCATGGCGGATGTAAACTTTGATCATACCTTTTTAAAATTTAAGTTTATTGTCTTCATACTTGGCGACAACAATCTTTGGGACAAGACTAGACTAAACTTGACCTTCATGTATAAATGGCCTTGACCTTCAAGGTCAAATATCTAAATTTAGCTTATTTTTTGCTGATTTATGCTATAAGTGGCTATTCCTTTGTTAATTTTACATGAATGGTCTTCTATCTTGAACAAAACAATCTTTTATTACAGAATTGCAAGCTAACTAGACAAGACATTGACCTTCAATCATAAATGACCTTGATATTGAAGGTCAAATTATTTAAAATGTCTTTTTTCTGTATCTGGCTATAACTTTGTTATTAGTGGATTAACTTCATATTTAGACATAACATCTTTTAGGTCAGGACCTTCATGGATATAAATTTGAATAAACTCAAATTGACTCTGACTCATTTATGACCTTGACCTTCAAGGTCAAATTATAGAATGTTCACTTCTTATATATATTGCTATAATTGCCTGTAACTTGGTTATTAATCAATGGATTATCTTCATATTTGGACAAGTCCTTCTTAGTTGCTGAACCGCCTTGACCTTGAGTTTTCAATGACCTTGACTGCCAATGTCATACAATTGAATTATGGTTAAGTTGTCATAATTTTGTTATTTATCTACATATTTGTGTCATGCATGCATGGACAAAACAACATTTGTCACCAAACGTGACCGTCATATGATTGAACTTTTCTTATATTTTCTTAACTTTGTCATTTTATTAATGGAAATCATCCATACTTGAACAAAACAACAATTATTACTAGACAGATCTATCAAACTTTGAAAAAAGGGAACAACATTTTTTTATTTATTTTTCTCTTTAAAGATTTGTTTAAACCATTTAAGTGTCCTCTTCTTAAAAAAAAGTATAAAAGTCAAGCGTTGTCCCCGCTAGCTCTTGTTTCACAAAATACAAGTTTAATGTAAATACTTAGTAATTCACATGGTCACCTATTTAATGTATTAAACCTTTATAAATTATGCATTTGATTTTCAAGAGTTTTCACTCTTGGTTTAGCTAGGACACGTAAATTCAGTTCTACGATTTGAAAATAATTGTGAAAAATTTGAAGAAATTCAAAAGAAAGAGGTTTCAATATTTTTTGACAGTAGACAATTTAAGTATGTAAGAAACTATGTTAACCAGAAACAGAATATTCCATTAAGTATAAGATAGATAAATAAACCTTTTTATGTCAACTCCAATGAATTATTCAGTAAAAATAATATTCATTATACTGCACTTTTATACAGTTTTTAAATATATAAATAAATATCATCAGAACAATATATACATAATTATGAATGTATATCAAACCGCATAATTAAAAGTTTTCACACATGTTTTTGTTCTGAAAGACAAACACTTTTATATCACTGTTTAGTCTTAAATCTCCCACTTTCTTCCTATGAGGAGGCCTTTATATAAAAATGTCTGACAGTCTATATATTGGACATGACTAGTTTATCTGCATTGTAACTATGTTTAAATAGCATGATACCCTACTTTTTCTTCACAAATATTCTGACTGACTCATAACAAGGCTACATATAAGTGTAAACAATAAATTAAATTTGTATAATACCCGTTTACCGAAAAGAAATTCCTATAAGTTAGCTTTAACCACTTTTTTAGTGTGATTTAAATTGTATCACTGCGCATGACCATTTGTAGGCGATGACACACTGGTGAAACATGATGGCACAATAGTGAATACGTCATGGT